TTTTTTCAGATTCTTTGTGCCTTCAACGCCACCACGTAATAACTGGGGGCCTTGTTGTCTTTTTTCTGTCATGCCGAGCCAACGTCCTCTATCGATTGGAGATACGCCAATCATTGTCACGAAAGGGTGCACGTACGTGACTGATGGATGCAGCTGGTTCGTAGGTGAGATGGGGTGACCGCTTGGAAATGACAAGGTGACTAGCTCTCCTGAAGACAGCAGAGCGATGATTGCAATTGGGTCTTGTGCTCCAGCAAAATGGGGAGAGGCTCGCGGAACAAGACAGAAATCGACAATTTCCGCACCAGCCGGTGTTGGGAGAAGATTTTGCTTCTTCACATTGAAATGATCGGAAAGAACAGACCAAGTTGACGTCTGATAAACAGGAGTTGGGCCCAAGTCAATAAACGTCAACCCTTTTTCGGGCAAAGTTGTTGGAACCCCTCCAGCTACAAGGATACCGGTATCATCCGGGTTCACTTTACAACACCACGCAACCTTGGCAAATGGTTCCTTTATAGCGAAAGTGCCAGGCGTATTGCCGAAGCTTTGGGACTTTGTGCCCGGTTTGTCGACATTTGCATCAGTCAGTGTCCGGGCCATCACTATACGGCCATCCTTTGGGTCCCAGAATACTAAACTGGCGTCATCGTAGGCAATTCCAACGAAGGTTCCCGTCGGATGCCAAAATACCTGTGTTAGTCGGGGCTTCCGTGCTTTCTGCGATGATATGGGTTCTGAGTCGCCTCCTGGTGCCCCAACCGGTACCTCATACTCAAAGAATCTTATCGGCTGGTTCTCCTTGAACGAATAGATGACAGCTCCTTCGGCATAGCCAATGAGCAGTTGTCCGATGTCCCGGGGGTGCAGCTGCATGGACACAACCTGCGTCATTCTAGATCGTGGATTCCGGTCCCGCCAGAAGTTAGGCAGCCGTAGCGGTGCAATTTTCTCTCTGTCTAAGTCGTACGCGATGACATCCCCATTCTGTAGGCCTATGAAAGCCCAATCCAGCATCGGGTCAGTGACCACTGACATTGCCACCCCAGGCGGCGAGTAGCTGGCCACTTTGTCACCAGTCTGGAGGTCCCATATTATCAATCCATTCTTTGAGTCAAGACTGAGGAGTCGGTCGGAGACAAAATGGAGGGACTTGATAGAAGCTCGGCGGGGTAGGGTGAAAGTGACCTGGACTCGTTTCTGCCCGAAGATGTAGATTTGGCCGCTGCCAAATGTGCTTTCGTTGGTTCCGATTGCAAGGAGAGACTGGACAGGGTTGTATGCCAGCGCACTATGTAGAATATTCTGTCAGTCTTGAAGATACTTGTCAACAATGCTTTAAGGAGATTCTTGTACCCAATCTGCGAGTTGATGCCAAACCTTGCCTGGTCATCGGGAGAAAACTGGTCGGGTAATATGCCAGCTGAGAGATCATTCTGAATACCAGCCTGCTTTCCTCGTAGGAAGCCTGCCATTTTGAATTGGAAAGCTAGAGTTGGCGTGTTGTTGGAGCTAGATCATGTATGAACATGTAGGCGGAGGTGCGGCTGCGCCATCATAGGATGAAGCAAACATGACAAACATAGTTTCAGTGGCTGTTAAAGCGGCAGGGGCAAATCTACCCCGCGACTATTATAATTCACAGGTGGACCATACATCACGTCCAACTGTACATGCATTTACAGCCGCCGCATTTAGATCTATATGCAGCAGATATAGTAATGTAACGAGCCTGTCATTTGCATATTCTCACAACAGGCCAAAGAACAATTGATGTCAGTGTTCAACCTTTCCCCAAATCCTCTAGAACCACTCGCAAGCTCCCCTGACTTCCTCATCTCTCTCCTTGATCTGCTCCTTCTACGCCTGTTACACCCTAGGCAATGCCTCCCGCAAGTGTTCCATCTGCACACTTTCCTCGATGAGCTCGTAGGCCCTCTCAATCTTCTATTCAGTTTCCTGGATTGGATTTTTGAATTCGGGAGGTGGAAGTTCCGCTTCCATGATCCTCCTCTTAGCCAAGACGTGGTGGCAGTTCATACAGCTTGGAGCTCTCCGGTTGATGTCGTAGAGGGGCTGATGGTTGGATACGTGGTGAGCAGGGAACCCACAGAAGGAGGGAACAGAAAGCTCGCTCGCAAGTCGCACAGGTGGTAATAATATCGGAGATGGTAGACTCCATGAAATTATATAATGATACTAGAGGATATTTGTGGCAAAGAAGACGTATGTCTTGGCCGTAAAATTGGATGGCAATGGGAAAACATCATCACGGATAAATAACTGGCGAGGCAAATTATTAGGAGGTGAACGTTCACCGACATGACGTATTAAATTCATAAAGAAACATTCATTATTGAATAAATAGCATTAGACACGAAGAAGTTCATGCATTACTGTCAAAGACACAACTAAATAAAACCATGCCCTTTGACTGTGCAATGGCCTACTAAGGCTCTAGGGAGTGACAAACCAGCAGTTTCTGCGGTCCAAGGCGCATGAACCGGCCAGTCACTTGAAGGACATAGGAAAAGTGCTCTTTACTCGTTGAGTAATGTCTCGCTGTTCATATTTCTCCTCACCCAACGCATTCTCATGCCACAGGCTGGAGGGTAAGTATCAACGATTGAACCTCTCTTTCTTTCCTCCACTTTCCCCTCCAAGACCAGTCACTGAGATAGACATCAGCCAGAGTGAATATGAAGGATTGAAGTTTTATGTGAAGAAGAAAAGAGGAGTGGGAGGCTGCTCTTCCTCATAAGGCAAATTTTTTAGACAGTCATGTGATCAAACGTCTAATATAAGCGAGACACTTGTAACAACAGAGTCTAGCGCAGATTCTGTTCACAGCCAAAAGTTGACTCGATTTGGTGGGGAAGATTAGCCCCTCCAATGTGATTCAGACTGAACGGCAGCAGTATTTAAAGGCCACTCTCGACATCTTTTTGATCGTCGCATAGTTTGTCCAATATCTGTCTGGGCCAAGAACTCCTTTGTCCTATAGCACATATCGTTCGCGCACAACATCCCTTCGATATCATGGCTCCCGGCGGCCCCCCAGGCGCAGCTGGACGTGGACGTGGCGGCAAGTTCAAGAAATTCACACGAGGAGGCAAGTTTTCTCTCTATCTATCTCTCGCATTATCCAGTTTCTAATACTTTATTACAGGTGGCAAGCATTTTTCTCGCAACTTGCGACCACTTGACGAAGATGGAAATGAGGTTCCTGATAAGAATGCCGATCCATCTTCGTCTGACGAAGAAGAGTCTGAGGAGGAATCGTCTTCTGAGGAAGAGGGGGAGAAACCTGCCATGACTCGTGAAGAGCGTCGTGCTGCTGCTAAGGCCAAGAAGGAAGCTGCTATTGCACGCAAGAAGGGTCAGGTACAAGCTGGTGATATGCCCTCTAGCTCAGAGGAGGAGAGCGATGACGATATGCCGGCCAATCCAAATCATTCGAAAGCGGCGAGAAATCAAGCGAAGTCTGCGCCAGTGGACGTGGACGAGGCAACAGACGGTGTGAAGGACTTAAGCGTTGGAGGGAAAGCCAAGAAGCCAATCGCTGAATTGAGCCGCAGAGAGAGGGAGGCCGTACAGGCACAACAGGCACGCGAGAGGTATCAAAAGCTGCACGAGGCTGGCAAGACAGATGAGGCGAAAGCAGACCTGGCTAGGCTGAAGGTCATTCGAGAAAAGAGAGAAGCAGAGGCGGCTAGGAAACAGGTCTGTATCAGATATATATTCCCTGTACCATGCTAACGAACACAGGCCGAGAAAGAAGAGCGTGAGGCGGCCGAAAAGGCCAAGAAAGCAGAAATCGAGGCGAGAGAGGCGAAGAGGAGAGAGGCTGCTATGGGTCCCGCGAAGGGCAAGGCAAAGAAGTAGATGTTGGTCCGAATACCTAGATGTCTCGGATATACATTTCCTTTTCATCGATGCAGCATGGTTAGCATGTATGTCCTGTTTGACAATACGTCTGGTGTCTTTTCGTGGTATACAGCAGAATATAACATATATGCTTCTCCCTCTCTACCCCTGGTGCTGGTCAGCTATTTAGTCTAAGAGATGTATCCTCACCGCAATGCGTTGGACCAGCTTCTCTACCTGCTGCCCAGTTTACATCTCAAAATACGGTACCCGAAACACTCCATTCTCGTCAACGTAGTCCACTCCCAGTTCATGCGTATACAACTAGGGCTTCCCTCCAAAAATCGTGACGGCATATGTGGCCATCCGAAACTCTATCCTGAACTACTTCCAGCCATGGGTTGGCTGAGCACCTTGGCTTGCATCTCCCGCAACAACTGATTTATCTATGCCTTAGACGCCCTCATCTCTTCTCTCTCATACGAGTACGTGACTACTTAGCGGATAATCGACACTCTCTTGTCCCTTTTGCTACGCTCATCAAGGACAGCGAATGTATCAATGATGCAGAATCCTTTCTAGCGGCAAAGACTTCGTGCGACATCTCTTCCTAGCATTTACGTAGTTATTTCAGAGTAATCTGTTCCAAAGGGAGCGATTTGTGGAATAGTCTTTTTTCACTATAAGACACTTGAGCAGTACTGCGAGCAAGACAACCAGGTACTGTAGGAGCCACGGCGCTATTGATGAATGAATACCTCTGGGGCACGTCTGCTGTACATTAGAGCAGGATAATTGACATATTTGAGGCTGTTGGCTTGTTCTAGTGTAATTTATGTCCAGGAGTATCAGAGGGTGCGTATTCGAATGTACAAACTGACAAAAACGACGCCACCCAGGCTGCGAGACTGTGGGCTTGCGACCAGTGACACATGCGGGTTCTGATATCCAGCAGTATAGTGAACAGTATCATCCTCATAATACCTAATTTAAAGTTCTAACTTTCTTAGGGACTATTTTGTTCTTTCTCAAGTCTCGCCTTAACTTGCCACGTTATAGATGAGGAGCATAGTAGTAACAAAATATCCGTTACCCAAGGAAAGGGTTAAGCAAAAAAATAAAAAATAGCGGTTTGAACACTACCCGACTCGAACGGGTGCTATTAACATGTTAGCATAGTTCAAGCGATTTAGAAGTTATCCAGACATACACCCTCTGGAGATTCCATTGCTGGAATCAGAAGCGCTACCACTGCGCCAAGCGTCCTCACGTGACTGATTCAAATTTCCCAGTTTACTCTTAATTTACACTATACACAGATTAAAGACCAGCCGTCCTCACTAGACGTCCCGAGTGGCTCGCTTAATGGAAGGCACAAAGGTGGTATGCGAAGTTATGCTGCAGAGCAAATCAATACTTGAGAAATAAAGTTAAAGGTATAATAACCCTTTATGAATATTTCTGTTACTCCTATATTACTCGCCATATGTACGATTGCGGGAATGTTCTACTTTTTGTGGTTTCCAACTCATAATATCACATTCAATGCATGGCTGCGGCATCTGCTCATCCTCTGTCCATGGATCTACCTTCATTCTAGCAACTACCTCAGGAGCCTTGTATTCCTGCGCTTGCCAAATGATTCATGCCACAGTCTCATCTTCAAGCCATAAGAAACCCAGATAAAACAGTGGTTATCCTGGATATGACTTGATAAGCCGCCAGGTGAGTGAAAGCGCTTTGACGGTGCCCACTCACTCCAGCGGAAGGCTGGGCGCTCTATAGTCAGAGATCTCTTTCTCAAGTCTCTGGGCTTTTCTTGTTCTCCCTTTCTCGACATAAAGAATTATGGACAAGAAAGCTGCACTATTGAACCCTCACTCAGAAATGAGCATTTATGGCTATTAACTTCTGGGATGGTTGTATGTTTATGTCAGGGAATGCACCAGATTGTGCGCAAAGGTGCACTAGTTCCGCCGTTGGCTGGGGAGTATCTCAGGTACAGATCATGTTCTGATTCTATATCTAGCAATAAGCAACCAGGAGTCTATGTTGATGTGCCTCATTATCCGGCAGTAGCTGGAAAAGAAAGCCAACAGAAAGTGTAACAAAGCATTTTCCATCTAATTCATATTTAACGCTCTTAGTGTTTCGTACCATAAAAAGAACTAGAAAAACTCCTGGCCATACAAGAATCTAAACAGCGTGTGCATGCCATTGGGTATACGCAAATCAGTGGGCCATGACGGCGTCCGCATGCTGCTCAACATCGCCGTTCTGGTGAGACTTTTCTACGCCATCCATTTCCATCGCTTCGTCGCCATCCCCCTCTACTGGCTCTTCTTCAAGTTCCTCATCCTCGCTGCCGCTGCTCTCAGCTTCCAGATCCTCGCTGCCGTCGTCAGAATCCTCGGCGGCCGCAGCAGGATCAACTTCTGCTCCAGCCATCTCAGAATCTTCGGCCATGGCATCGGGATCCGCAGCACCTGCACCTTCGCCTCCTTCGGGGGCATCTTCCTCCTCCTCCTCCTCCTCTGCTTCCTCAGCACCGTATTCTTCTTCATCTGCCACCAAGTCAGCCTCGGGCTGCTCTGGAGGAAACTCGGCGGGAGCTGATTCATCAGAGTCCCTGCATATGTTAGCAATGGAGCAGGAACTAGGCACCTAATACCAACCATTTGATGGCAAACCGAGTTACTCTTGGCTTCTCTGCGAGAATGTTTCTGCGGACTTTCTCGAAAATTGGCTTTGGCGGGGGGTCCGCATTGAGCTCATCCGAATCGTATTCGTTATTGACATAATATCCTACCCGTACGAATTCTCGATTGTCGTAAGAGCAAGTAAGTAGAATCACAGTCACACCTAGGATTTCTGCATCCGGGATTTTGGAGGTGTCCGGTGGGTCGGCTTCAAAGATGAACTTGTTGACTCCCACTGGTATTGGACCAACAAGGAGAGTGTCAAGGTCTTGGTCATGTTCAGATCTATGTCGTGTTAGAACGCGGTTACGTTTTTGGAGAAGTAGACACAAACGAGGTTGCGGATCCGACATAGGTCAATTTCCACTCGAGATCTAGATAAGGTCAATTCCCGTAGTAACTTTGCGTGCATAGTGCATCGTACCAGACTTGAGAGCTTCTAGGCATTCAAATGTGATCTCGAACTGGTAGGAATCACCAAACTTGGCTGGGTTGTTCAGGATGTTCACGCCCAGGAGAGATACCACCGACATGTTATCGAAGTCTGGTGGTCTAAAGGACTAGATTGTGAAATATGTCACAAAGAGATGTAGCACAGATTTGATAGTTGAGTTTTGGTCGAACAGAGAGCGTGTTGTAGTTGATCGGTGAGGCAGAGGAGTACAGACGGGGAGAGTTTTGGAGTGATAGCACCGGTCGCGTTGCCGGTCGCGTTTGTGGGTTGACCGCGATTTCAATTACACTACGGCAGGCTGAGGGAACCATGTCCGTACGTCACGTGCGCTAAACGCTAAGCTTAAGCGCGCTACCAGCCATTGAGGCGACTGCAAAAGAATCAATCAACATGGCCAAGTGTTGAGCCAGGTCTTGTTCAAGTTGCAGAGAATTCCTCCACGTTTATTTCTTTTCTCCTTTTGATATTTATTCTGGCGCTCTCATGTGGAGGGTGTAAATCTCGTCTTTCTCTCTTCAGAAGACAGGTCAATCCTTCCTCAATATGCCACCTTCTCCAGCTAACATCAAACAGTTCAGCTTCCGCTCATTCCCGTAATTTCAATCCCATCACAAGAATAACATCAAGATGGCGGAGGAGGATGCAGAAATAGCTCTCCTACATCGCTTACAGGCTGGACAAGAGAGTATTGCATGGGGAACTGATGGTGCGGGTGGTGCCCCTGAGGGCGAGATACCTTCGAATACTGAAGATAACAACGAACAAGTCAAGAAACAAACAGTTGCAGATGATGAAGTTCTTCGTGCTTATTCGCCGTCAGGCTCTGGTGCTGTTTCCGATGATGGTGATGAATACGACCCGTCTTCTGTCACTCCTCTTCCAGCTGCAGTGATCGCAGGAGACGAGCAATCTCGATCCAGCTCCAGGGCATCGTCTCGCAAGCCGAAGACGGTTGGAGGATTTTTAGCTGATGACTCTGATGAGGAATCAGATGAGTCCTCTTCAGTACAGATCTCGACTGGCCTTCAACCTCCAGCTCATAATATTCTGAACCGCACTATCTCCCCTTCTCCGTTGCAAGTGTCTATTACACCAAGCGACCTGCAAACTCCTATACAAAATCCAGATGATTCACAACAAGGTGTTTTATCTTTGAGTACTCTCTCTGTGAACCCAAATCTTTCTGGAGCTCGTACATCACAAGCTCCTTCAATGCAGGTGCCTATGTCTGCAGGTCTGTCAGCTTCTGTTCAAAGTGCATCTGCCCCAAAAGGTCGCCTGCCGCATGATAGGATAGGCATCCTTGAAGACCGGATCAAGGAGGACCCCCGAGGTGACTTAGATGCCTGGCGATCTTTAATTTCTGAACATCGAAAGCGCAACAAATTTGATGACGCCCGAGCAGTCTACGAGCGATTCTTCAAGGTCTTCCCGCAAGCTGTATGCTTCCTCCTGCTTCCTCCTTCCTACTTGTAACTAATCGTTCCTAGGCTGAGATGTGGGTCGAGTATGCTGAAATGGAACTCGAAAATGACAACTTCGGAGCTGCTGAGCAAATCTTTGGTAAATCACTGCTTACTGTCCCAAACGTACAGCTTTGGTCTACCTATCTCAACTATATTCGCCGTATGAACGACTTGACGAATGATGCAACAGGAAACGCCCGCACCACTGTGTCCCAAGCTTACGACTTTGTCCTGGCAAATATAGGTGTTGATAGGGATTCCGGAAATATTTGGCAGGAGTATATACAGTTCGTCCGTAGCATTCCCGGCCAAATCGGAGGTAGCAGCTGGCAAGATCAACAGAAGATGGATTCTCTGCGCAAAGCGTATCAACGCGCTATTTGCGTGCCGATGTCAACTGTTTCAGCTTTATGGAAGGAGTATGACCAATTCGAGATGGGCCTTAACAAAATGACCGTAAGTAAGGTTACTCCTTGGTGCATCATGATTACTAATAGCATTAGGGTCGCAAATTCATACAGGAGCGATCTCCCGGGTACATGACAGCTAGGGGTGCCAACACGATGCTGGAGAATCTCAACCGTGGACTTATCAGAACGACATTACCGAAGCTTGCACCAGCGCTCGGCTTTGAAGGAGATGGGGAGTATCTTCAGCAGGTGGAACTCTGGCACAAATGGATAACTTGGGAGCAAGAAGATCCGTTGGTATTGAAGGCCGATGAGCTCGATGTCTATAAACAGCGAATTTTATATGTCTACAAGCAGTCCTTGATGGCATTGCGCTTTTGGCCTGAAATGTGGGTCGATGCCGCAGAATGGTGTTTCGCCAATGGTCTGGAGAAGGATGGAGATACATTCCTTTCTGATGGGATTGCTGCAAATCCAGACAGTTGCCTACTTGCCTTTAAGAAGGCTGATCGTCTCGAGACTACCTTATCTACAGAAGAAGCGGACAAAGGACCCGCTGAAAGGGGTGCAATTGTCCGTGCCCCATACGATAGCCTTCTCGACTCTCTGTACGATTTGATCAAACAGTTAAAGGTCAGAGAGGCCCGAGAGCTGGCAAAGGTTGAAGAATCAGCCGCTCTTGATGCCAATATTAGCGCAATCATCGCCAAGGCAGAAGATGAAGATGATGAGCGCGATTCTGATAAGGAAGCTAGAGAAAGCGACAAGGCCAACAAGCAAGCGGCCATTAAGCAAGGTTATGCAACGCAGTCCCAATTGATCTCAAGGACTATTTCCTTTGTCTGGATCGCTCTCATGCGTGCCATGCGGCGGGTCCAAGGAAAAGGTGCCGTGAAAGATGCTATCGGTGGTTCCAGACAAATCTTTGCAGATGCTCGCGCACGCGGCAAGATTACGAGTGATGTCTACGTTGCTAGCGCCCTAATTGAACACCACGTGTATAAGGATCCGGCTGGCACCAAAATATTTGAGCGAGGCGCGAAGCTGTTTCCAGAGGATTCGATCTTTATCCTAGAATACTTGAAGCATCTGCTGTCTATCGGAGACACCACGAGTAAGTTCAGGATTATACAATTATAGGCCACGCTAATATTTTAGATGCTCGGGTCACATTTGAGACATCCGTCAGCCGCTTGACGGGGAAGTCAGAGCTTCTTGCCAAGGCAAAACCCCTTTA